TACGAGCAAGGGTAAATAGTACACACCCCGCAAATAATAGCGAGATACCCATCGTTCATCGCGTAGAATAAGTTCCAATCGTATATAACAGGGAAGCTTAAACGTCATCGATGGTGCGCTCCGCACCGACCCGATTTCGAGTCATCTACGCCGTGCAACATTAATAATGATCCCCTTGTTTCGACGCCTGTATCTATCGTTCTCTCTCCAACACTATATGATGAATTTTGGAAGTACCATGCAATTCAATAGTATCTTTCGCGTCTGTAAGACCACCCCGTGGTTGTATATTGGGAGCTGCTACAAGATATACCGGCGATCTACCGATCCTCGTCAGATAGGACAATGGCACGCAAGAGGTTGCTGTACTATACAGCAGTGGTCGGCGACACACCTCGTGTCGTCGTTTCCACTCCAATTTGTTTTGTTTTCGCGCATCATGCATGATTGCTACGACAATCAATTATGTGGAAATTCCTGTATAATTGGATGAACATTAAAAAAGTCGCAACTTTTTGGCCCCTCGAATATTTTTGTCAGAAAGTTCGTTCGTTATCGCGAACTGAGTCCATTATTGAAGCCTATTTCTTCTTCTCGTGCGTTTTTACAGCATCTGCCCCTTCCGGCAAACAGCTGGCAGTCCATGTTAGCGGTCTTCGGCTTTGGTTTTGTGAAAAAGGCATTTCATCTACATTGGTTACTCCGTGAACCTTTCGCTGGCAAAGTCCCTCGATTCGCGGAGGAGTTTTAAAAGTATACGTTACATGTTGTTAAAACACACGGTGTGCGATATCTTCGCCTTTAAATGTCGAAACATACGTTAGACTGAACCTTCAAATCTTGTTCACGAGTATTACTTCGATACTTTTTGTTCTCATTTACTAGATATAAAGAACTTTGCGGGTGATTAAGCTCACTGTCAACAACCCGATACATGCTTCAGCCACGCATACATTGGTCTTAGTGAATAGCTAACGCCATCCGCGCACTATCTAAGTTTTAAGTGTAAATATACTCGAAAAAGAATGAGTTTTGCTTATGCAAAACACAATTTGGCTCTTGACTTACTTGCGACGACGATAAGGCCGACGCGAAGTACGATAATTTAGACAAGATCAACAATAAATGAGACAAATCCGGCAATAAAGATGAAGCTGATGCTGAATCCAATGATTATAACAGGACTGTTATATCCAGTATCATCAAGACTATAACAGCGAGGATGATGATGCCCTCGAAGTGTAAGAAACCAATTTCTCTGCAGTGCGCATCAGAAGAATTGATGAAAAAATAGCGAGTCATCAGGGGTAAATTCTGTAAGTACAATAAGCGTTGGACCATTTCGTGCGTTTTGCATTTGCGGAAGTGGTGGATTGACATAAGGAAGTGCTAAATATCAAAAGAGAAAACTTTCTATCAATTTTAAGAGATAATTAATCACAATGTCTGCGTTATGTATACCTGGCTTTTAAGTGAATAATCCAGACAGGAATAAATACTGTCCAAATAATATGTTCCATTTCGTGTGCTATGTTGTCTAGGCAATATGTTCACGATTGATATCCTACAAAGGATGCACACGGGTCCTACGTTTTTCGTAGGTAGGTATCCGCTCTTCCTGTAAATACCTAACCTCTTTTGACGGTTAATAAAACCTCCACGCTCTAATTTGTTCATTTGAGTCTTTCATGCACGCTCCAATTCTTCGTCCTGATCATGGGGATAACATTTTATTGTGCATACATGCTATATCGCCTCTACAGATGATGTCCGCTCGTAACTAAAAGAATACAGTTTGTCGGTCCACGAATATGTGTAGAAGTAATCTCGATACAATCGCTAGAACACTTTTTTGCATAGTCGTTTAAAATTATTTCTGCACAATTCGGTTAATCAAAAGGCTAATGTCCCGCTAATGTTTGAAATCCTCGCTTAGTTTGATACTTACGCGGTTCAGATCCTTTTTATTAATCGGGGTCGACTAATTATCTGTACTTGGCTTTTTAATATCACTACAACGTTTAAGGACTCGCACGGTGATTTATGGCATCCAGTGAAGCATATCTTGACGCAACGAGCCGTGAACGGGCGCTGGAATATATAATGAGGACCGGTTGTGCGGGTATCCACATTCGTGCGTAAGTCGGTAATCTCGATTTTAGATAATATTTGACTTCCTTACCTCGTCAAGCAACACATCGAGTCCTGAACAATAGACCAGTAGTGAAATCGGAAACCAAATTCTTCAGTAGCTTGCAAGGGCCAGCAACACAACAATCTCTTCGTTTGTGTCTGAATTATTGCGCGCCCTCGGAAAGGTCTGATTGGGAAGGGAGTGCTCACTCGGGGCACGGATTGAGAGTAAAATACAGATAACAGATCACATTTGTCTCTATTAATGACAGAAACGTTAAGCCTGTCTTCTGGACAACTAACTTTATTTGCGCCGCACACGGTTGTAGTAGAACTCTTGAATCTATCGCGGGCGGCATTATGAGAATCCAGGATTCTTAGCCCACGCATTCGGCATCGCGATCTAATTAATTTCACGCCGAAGTAAGGCGCACCTTCAAGATTACGGTGCTTGTTGTATAATCGTTGCCTAAAAGGACATTTATACAGTATTTTTAGTTTGTACTCCACTAATTTTCATTGACGTAAACACGATATAGCCCATACAAATTGATCAGACACATTTGAATTAGTTCCGTGGTTACTATCGACAGTCCATCCAACCCCGCTGTGGGGGCATTTACGGCTTAATCTAGAAGCTCTAAAAACATCACAGTCTCTATCCTCATGTGTGATGTCCATAGAAAAATCAGGACCACCGCGAACGCCGCGATCAATTCGATTGCTACGATTCGAATGACTCATTTCTAAGTCAGCATCGACATAAAATGTGCAGATTTAACGTGTCGACAGCTCACGTCGCAATCGTGTGGGCGCGATAGGCTCTATCTAAAAGCCGTATAATTTGTTAGTTGATCATTCTTTGTCTGCACGCACGCGTACACGAAGCTTCGGGATACCTACTCACATGTGATAAATGTAGGTAGCTTATACTATGACAGTACATACGTTCGATGGCCCGTTTCATAATTAATTGGTAATCATGTATGTGTATATAGATGATGTCAACATATTGCCACTAGGTACTAAAGCAACGTGTTTTCGTTATACAGGTTTTACTGATCAAAGTAGCATGTTTTAGTGATCTTTGTGCTAACACGTACACTCTCTAGTATGCTCCGTACACTAGTTACATTGCTGATACATCGGTGCACGTACCTATACTGTTACTGTGTTTCTAGCATGCGCTGTATCCTTATCCGCGGAATGTAATAGGGCACCGACAGTCACGTACCGATAAACAGTACGGAGTAAACCCTTTTTGACAGCAGAGTTTATCATAGCCTTATCACCTCACGTATACTACATAGAAAGGCTAAATTACTATGACGATGCAAGTTAGTAGCGGTAAGAGTAGACCTGAATTGAATAACAAGTAGGTCCTTGTATCTCTTCTTCTGTCCATTGAGCCTAAATTGCTAATATTAATGTACGAACATGTATAGTGACGTCTACTCACCACCCATTGCGCGCGTCAGGCAGCAATTAGTGTGTTTGTATCATTTTATGTATGAACAACTGAGTAGACTCTTGGGTCACTGAGAGAATATCACGTTGTGTTGTGACATTCAAAGCGGAACATTCAATGGAAGAATCCTCATTAGCACACCTTACAAAATTCCATCATTATGTAACAAATTCGCCCCGTTACACGAAACATGCCCCATCCCAACTTTTGTACGCTGAGTCGTTGAATGAAACTGAAAGCATTTCTTATTGTTCTTCCAAGTTGAATATCTCCATTCGAGGCATCCGAGTTACCATACTTCTGTACAGCCGATGGGTCGGACACGCCGTAGTTTGATGTCACCTACTACCACCCCTCCTTTTTTGGTTGTCCGCGTCACATCGGTTAATCATCGGTTCGTACTGACCCGGTCGAGCCTTTCCTATTGGCCAATCAAAGGTCGTCAGGTAAAGCCATAAACGTCTGGCACCACGATAGAACTGTCTGCTGCAAAGCGCGGTCTAATGTTAATGTCGTGAGGCCTCACAGATGTAGAGCGGCCAACATGCTGTTTGGATGAAGAACGTTCACCTCAGGCGCCCACATGATGCGCGACTTGGCTGGACACATGACCAACGACGTCACTTGAGCGAACAATTATCATCGCATTATGGCTCATACGACTATCATTAGCGCACAACGGTATGCGTCGACGGATATCCAATGCTTTTGATCCAGCACTACGACAGGAACGAGAGGCTGCACGTGCTAATTGCTTTACACGGCTCCATGAATGCATTTCATTCAGCGGATGTCAGTCGGACAGCTATGATGGTCAAGTATAGGTGACGCTTGTTTCAACAGACGTCCTTTTCGTCAGGGATGGACGAAGCGTGTAAGCTTCGAGACGGACAACTACGAGAGACATCGATAAGTGCAAATGCAAGCGCCCCGAGCAATACGTTGTTTCATCGCTGTATCCGACTTGAGGGGCCGCATCTGCAATTCGAACATCACAAAGAGACACATCGATGCAACAGCTGTGCATTCGGTATTTCCGAACGCACAGCTGGAAAATGTCTGGAATCCTATGGCTCGTAACCGGCACAAAGGATAAAAACATGCGTTCGCATACGATGGCACACCTGTCACTTGTGCTCTCCATGGCAACCACGTCGACCACCAACCAACGAGCAGCTCATAGAATATCCCCACAAGACATCAACGGTACGACACAATCTGCGAGGAAAGCAGTTTCTATAGACAGTGGGTGGTGTTTAGAAACACCGAGGGGGAGGAGAGGGGAGAGGGGGGAGAAGAAGCGCGAGACGTCGCCACGCGTACCCCACCCGCCATTGCATCGCTGACAACTGCTCGTCGCGACTGTGCGCCCGTCAACAGCACAGAACCAATGCAGCGACTACTTCTTCGCCGTCTTTTTGACCGTCTTCTTGGTGGCCGTCTTTGCACCAGTCTTTTTACTACCAACAGGTGCCTTCTTCGCCACCACTTTCTTTGCACTCGTCTTTTTCGCCGGTGCCTTCTTGGCCGCCACCTTTTTCGCCGCCACACTCTTCTTCTCCATCTTCTTCTTCTTCTTTGCTACCGCTGCAGCTGTCGCCGTAGCTTTTTTGACAGCCGCAGACGGCTTTTTCGTGCCCTTGGGCGCCCGCGAGACCGTTTTGGCCGCGGAAGCCGCGACTTTGCGGCTCTTTTTCATCCCTGCCGCGGGTTTCCGCAGCTCGGGCGACAACTTGTACGACCCTTTGGTCTGCACCAACTTGCCGCTGTCCACGGCCGTGCGCAGGGCCTTGTTCAAGTGGTGGCTCGCGTAGTGCGCTTTTTTCGACTCAATGAGCTTCCCAATGGCTTGACGCGACGACCCGCCGCGGTCTTTGAGCTCTTTGATTGCGCCGACAATGAGCTCAAAGTACGACGGACCGCTGTCGCCCGCGCTCTTGGCCGAAGACGACTTCTGCGACGGCTTCTTGGGCTGTTTCGTGGTCGTCTCTGGCTTTGCACCGCTTTCGTCTTTTTTCAGCGTCTTTGCTTTTCGAGACGGCGACGAGCGCGTCGTCGCAGCAGCGGACGCTGATGTGCCTTCGGTCGAAGCCGAAGCTGTAGCGGGTGCAGCAGCTTCAACGGCCGCAGACTTGGGGTCGTCGGTAGGGGCCATCGAGACGCGAGAGAGAGAGAGAGAGAGAGAGAGAGAGAGAGAGGAGTGAGGAAGTGGGAACTGTCGACGTCGAGTTCTTTTCTGCCAGTGAAGCGGAATTTCGGATTGGGATACCGGGAGATTCCCGCGAAAGCAAAGTGAGCCAATGAGAGGAGCGAGCGACCCCGCTCCGCGAATGACAAGGCAGGGAGCGATCCGCTGGGCGAAAATAACTGCAAAACCAGCGGGTCGAGTCTGCTATGACGTCAATAGAAAAGAAACTGCTGGAAGAGATCCGACAACCAAACCAGGAGGCGAATTGCCGTGCGAGGCAGTTCGAGTCGTCGACGTCACTCTGGTCGGTAAGTGAGACGAGTGTTCGGCTGTTGCTACTGGACCGAACGCACACAACCGCGTCGGTAGCATGCGATTGTCGTTGTTCTTAGCAACGGAAGTTGCCTGGGACCAGCAATGTGCTGGGGGTAAGAGTGACCGACCCACGCGGAAGACTATAGCCGCCTGACTAGTCCTTGTTCCGCTTGTTATGTTGTAAATGACCGTCCCGCGTACGGAACAAGAAGGACGTGCGGTAACAAACTGGAAGCAACTTTTGCCAAATAAAAAAATCCAGATACTTTTGACCAGCCATCACTGGGCTCTATCTCCCAACGTCGACGCTTTTGGATGTGAGCGCTTGTCGCCTCCGTCCCCCAAAGCAAATGCTTTGCTATCATATTCGTACACGTTGCGAGGCTTTTAAGTGCATTACATGGTCCAATACAAACAAACCAAGCAAGCGAATTCCTGTAAATTCTTATGGCCGCGACTAGGGGCACGCCCCACTTTTGCTAGGGGTACACCCCATTTATGCTAAGGGCACACCCGCCCTCCTAACATGATAAGAAGGACTTCCAACTCTTCGAAACGATGCAGCACTAGAGATGCACGACCTCGCGGAAACGACTCGGTGGCTACTTGCTCCACTGTGGTACCATTGTACGTACTACGCTTAGTGTGTTTCTTCCTAAAGCAAGGGTCATGTTGATGTGTTGACCGGCGACAGAAGACGGCTGTTGTCTGGCTGTTGCTTGCATCTTTCAGTGCGCGACAACGTTTGTCATAAGCGTCTGGATCCAATTGTCTCCAGCATCGACACAGTTGAGAGTTCGTGCGGCCACTTAGCTCAACAGCAAGTTGCGGCCAGAGTCTGGGCGACTCGATGCCCCACTCGCGCTATCTTGTAAGAATGAGTCATCTTTCTGCTCGGTGAACTTACGGACGACAAGTCCGGGTTGATGCAGTTCACGTATCGGTCCCGAAGCGCTGGCTGCGTTCGCCCGGGCACACGATGACAAATGCCGTTCCACGACACTTGATCCTGATTGAACTCACTGCCTTTTGGCACGTATGCACGAAGTGCGAGCAGCAGCCGTCTATCCTCACTCCGCGAAAACGTGCCTCCCCGAAGACCTGGTGCAAGCGAGAGCTGCCATCGGAGGCGGATCTGCTCCGACACACGGCCATCCATCAGATCTGCAACCACTTTCCACTTTTCGCCAAAGACCGGGACAGCTTCACGCAGGATCTAATCTTCTTCTGGCGTAAAGGTTGACCGCGTGTTTCCCGCGTTCAGCGCTGTCTTGTGCCGAGTAAGACAATGAGCTGCTAGTTTTCCCGGCACTGGCGTGCGCTTTGCAATCTCGTGCCACTTCTTCACCATTTTCGGGTCTTCTTGTCCCGTGATCAACCGTCAAACCGCTGTGTCTTCCTCTTTCTACCACGCGCCAAGCCGAAACGTCGGCTATTCGTGCAAGTCATTCCACAATTTGCACGCAATACCCGAACGTCTAATTGGAAACTTTCTCGACTTGCGTGCCTTCTGCCACGCGCGAAGTTTGTTCCACGCTTGTAGAAGTATCTCCACGTTTGCGGCGTGTGGCATGTAGAAATCTTTGGCAATGTCCGCGACGACTTTACGCTCTCGACTCGTGAAAATCGTTGGGGGTCCGGCTACAAACGACTCGTGACTGCGAGCACGTAGAAACTCGGACGTCGTTGCCACTGCCGATGGTCAGATCTTGGCATCGTACCATTGGATTGTATACCGTCTTCGAGACAGTCCCAGCAGGCATTGCTCGTTTGGATCCCGCCATGGCCAAGATGGATTGGTAAAATCTCGCGCATGAGTGCATTTGCCGTTTAAGATTGGGATATATCGAGCAGTAGTAAGTGACTACGTGTTTTACATATTGTTCTGCACTAGAAAATGTGAAGTCCTTATTATCATTATAAGAGGATGGGTGTGCCCGGAGCAAAAGTGGGGTGTGCCCCTAGTCGTGGCCAATTCTTGAAAGAGCTGGAGATATTCCAACTAAATCCGACGCGGGCTCTTCTACGATAACGTGTACTCGTAAGGGGCATCAAGTGCGATTCAGCCGATCCCTCGTGACTTTTCATTGCCGCACCGTAACCTTTTGCTCATAAGTATGCGGTAGGTTGCGGCGTTACATGCGATCCGACGTCTGCGTATTCCTTGGTCAATACCAACGTATCTTCTTGTGGCATTTAACTTATCGACGCAAGTACGCTGGTCTATTTCCTCATCTTTCCGGACGTTGTCAACGAGAAGCACGCCAGATTGTTGACATGCTACATCCGCCCATCGACATCTTGTCCTTGTGACTTGTACAATTCGTTGGAAGGGAAATATAGGGAGGCGTCAGCATGCTGCCATCAGCATTGCTCACGCAGGAGACAACGAGGGCTTGCCCTACATCCAATGGATGTCACGATGTAGAGAATAAAACTTTGACGTACAGCTTGACAAAGCTTCAGCTTGCACCTTCAGCATATGATAAACCTGTCGAAGGAAGAGCGACGGTAGTGGTTGGAAAGCGCGAGTGACAGCCGAGCTTCATGGCAGCCACTATCCGTCTCTCAGTGTGGATGTCTTTTTAAATGCGTGTATTTCTACAAGTCGCGCACACGCACGTATGTTGTAAGCGCAGTAGCAATCAATGGCAAACAGCGCCGATAAGCAAACGGTCGACACTGTGGGACTGCAAAGGTCTCGCACTTCTGGCACTACTACATCAGCAACACATTGATAGGGGGACTCATCACTACCATGTCATATGTCGCATTATGTGTAGTCGTTGTTGTTGCACAGGCAAGATTAAACTTCGTCTCTCGCATCCCTCATCCTTCTCTACAACAGTTCAGATTCGCCATGAGTTGCTTCATCACACAACTCAACTCTCACGTCAACCATATGGCTATCACACCTCACAACAGCGTCCCTCTTTCAACGTGATACGTGACGCGGGCGAATGCAAAGCATGCTTCATTTCTTATCGGCAATATATTGCTTGCACTATCAGACAAGCACCTCCTAGCTTTTGCGTCCGCCTGATCACTGGACTACTTAACATTGTGCAAACTACTGTCCTACTTGTAATAGATGACAAGGATTCAGGTCGAGCTGATGGTTCTCTCTCTTGCAAGAAACAAGGGCTACGGATGGCAGTAAAGACTCGTGATATGGTCTGATAGGTCTGCATGTGTATCAGTCGATGTTGTTGCAGTTGTCTGGTAAATTGACAACGGAAGAGCACGGCAGACTTTCCTGCACGAGCAGCCTTCTATCAGTGAGGCCACCTCTTACTGGCCATCACTACACCATTAGCACGGGTAAGCTGATTGTCAGCGATTTGCTGTCACCATACTTCATGATTGAACTATCTGCTACCACTACAAACTGCACAACACGACGCAACAAGTTCGACAGAACGTGGTAAGTGTATGTATGATGCTGCGGCCTCTCTAAACGACATCTGTAATCGTGAATGTGATGGGTTCCTTTGTGCAATTGGCGCGATCCACACCGAATCCACGCAGATCAAGTATTTCAGCTCCACGCATCGATAGTGCTATGTCGTTGCATATCTCGCTGCCGGTTGCCGGGATTTGATGCTGATACCTACACGCTGCTTTGCAACTATGGCACAAGCTGACTTAGGTGATAGCACGACAAAAGACGACAGCAACAGAGGATCACGACGATGGTACGCAAGGCTGTAAAAGGTGTGGAAATACCAATCATTTGGACGTGCTGTCAAAGCTCACGTCCTTGTGCACTTCAACGGCACACAGTAGAGCGGCTTTGGTCGCTGGTCTCACATCGTGCATTGTTGTGGTGAGCACTCGAAATTTGACGGCCGCGACCTGCAAGCTCTGACAGCTACGGCGATACATCAGACAGCTATAGCGATTCTTGTACATTCGATACACTCCATAAGCGGTCTTTGGTACTGCGGTTTGCGTCGTCAATTTAGTTACAATCTACCTTACTCACTAGTCTGGTGGGTGAGTGGCAGGTGCGAAACGAGGTTGGAAAACTTGCCGACAAATTCATCACTCGACCTCACGTCGATCCGCGTGATGCTGCAGTGGCTAATGGGCCCACCGAGTTGGACGATCTCCCTGGGAACGTTGTAACATTGAGCCATACAGTACTGGATGAAACTCGCGTGTGCAATGGCAATCTTGAAGTTCTCGGGCTCACCGCTTGGATTGCGCACGAAATTGTCGCCTCCGTCCCAGCGGCAAATGCTCTGGAACGCCATCTTGTGCATCGACTCACGGAACTCGTAGCGCTGATAAATATCGACAGATTTGGGCGCCCCGTCCTCCAAGAAGCAGCACTCGCTCTTGTTGGCGATCCATGGCATCACATCCACAAACGCGGCCGCCGTCTCAACAGTCCGTCGCAATCTTCCATGCACTAGACTCACGCAGGGCGTGCTACTTCCTCGTGCCTGCAGCATCCTACTCAGATACTTTGCAGTGATCTTCGCCTGTTCCTTTCCTCGCTGCGTCAGTCTCTTCTCTCGGTCGCTCACGCGGAAGTTAATGTTCTCCGTCTCTCCGTGACGAATGAAAATGAGGTGCGTGACCCCGCGAGGAAGCCGCAGCTTCTTTTTGAGCGGATGGAGCACGGGCTGCATCAGTTTCGGAAACAAAACGTTATCCACTTGATACGTTCCGTCTTTGAGCTGAAGTGCCGACACCGTCGACCGACTCAGGCCCTTGTGGAGCAACTGGGGCTCAATGTGCACTTGAGCGGCCACTTGGATCGACCACCACCACAAGAACAGATCCTGTTTCGTCTGGAACCGAAGCACCCTCGCGTCGCTTTTGCCTTGATACAGAAACTCCATCTGCATGACCGCGTGTTCTTTCAGGTCGAAGAAGGTCAGTTTGCAACTCTTGAGGGGCAGCAGCGCCCTCTTGCGCACGCTCGCGTCGGTACATTTGCGCAGCTCGAGAATTCCTGGATACAGTTCAGCCCAGTGCGGGGTCCAACTCGTGCGGCCTAATGTCACGCGGCGAGTCTCAAGGTAGCCACAGAGCACAAAGTTGTCGCGGTTTGCTGCTTTTCGCACGGCATAGTCGCTCGGCACCACGGGGCAGGCCGGGCGATCTTCACTAAAGTACAGCTCCACTTCATCGATCGTATAGCGTCGAGTCGTGGACCCCTTTTGAGGAACAGGACGGGCAAAGGACGGCGTCGCGTAGTGCGACGCCAGCTGCGGTCTGAATGTCTCGAGGTCCTGTGTCGTGGCAAAGTGGACACACTTGGAGCTCTTTGAAGACTGTTGTTGTTGTTGTTGCGGCTGCTGCTGCTTCTGCTGCTGGTGGTGGTGGCGGTGGCGGCGGCTATGGCTGCCAGCCGAAGCCAAAGATGAGGTCGAAAGGGGCATAAGAGAGACTTGGGGACTGACGCTGGTCCTGTCGTGCGCGACTTGTGGCGAGACTGAGACACTCGATGTGGCTGGACTCTACTTGCTGTTCCGAACATGCATTGATTGCGACATGTCTCCCACGGAAGAGAAAAGACGGACGCGGCTTTAGACGAGGGACGCAGCACGCGCCAAAGCGTTTTTCCAACGGGCTCTTTCGCAGCATATAAATCTCGTGGGGCCAGTCGACGTAGCGCGTGATGGAACTTGTCGTGAGGGGCTTACAGGCGTATGCATTTCGCGTCAAAGACGGCAGGTGAACTGGTGTCTCAAGAGTTGTGCGAACACTCAGTTGTTGGACGTGTGTCGTGTGTCTCTACAGCGCTTTCGGGTTATCGTTAGAGGAGGAAAAGGCGCACGTAACACGAAAGAATGGTGTTTCGATCGTGCTCTTGAGTTGCTGTCGCATTGTGTTGGCAACGAGCGGGTCGAGTTCTTTGACAGTCGATGCGGGTAAGAGATTCAACAGCATCCCCACGTGTAGGATTGACGCTAGTGAAGGGGCTCTAGCAGGCACGGGGAAAGTATAGCTCAAGCGTTTTCGTGTCATATATACCCCGCGGTCAATTTGCAAGACGAGGGCGCTTAGTGAGAGTGCGTGCACATTGGACAAGCACGTAAGCGCAGCAGATTAGCAAAGAAGCAACATGGGATTGACGTACGTTTCGTGCAAAAATGGTTTTGGCCAGCCGACGGCAAGCATACCTCACGCGTGCCAGCCGCCGTTGATGTGTACCTCGTGTCATAGATGAGGGCTCGCAGATGGATCAGATCAGTAAAGCTGGCTCGTGCACTCTACACACACGGTTTGCCAGCACTTGTACGACATCGATTGCGTAGCCATGGTCTACCGTCCTGCGATCCTGACAGGCCACGTACAGCACCAACGTGTTTGCTGGCTATGTATTACTTGCCATCCGGTGGGACTAATGATGGAGTTGTGTTCCCATTGCTGCACCGCACATGGAACGCTGTCGTACTCACGAAAAATGACACTTTGCACACAGCCATTCAGTCTCCGCCCAGCGATATGAAACATGTTGACTCTGTAGACGCTGCCCTGCTTACGAAATGGGGCCTTGCCAGAACGAGTTTCTTGTGGAGGATTTCTGACAGCCATCATGTAGTGTAGACGCAAATGACGGGCTACAGCGTTTGCACAAACCAGGGCAGAGTCTGCTGTGCCGCTTCATCCACAATGGGCCACTACGATATGCCTACTGATCAACTGAGATATATCTACTGTAAATGTGCAACGCGGACCGCAAACGGTCTCATTCACCATCAGCATCACCATTTTACACGCACAAGTTCATGGTGCTGGATTGAATTATCGACAAGTGTACCAAACATCCATTCGCGATCATGCTCCTACCTCTCTATATATGGTCCGTTTGCACTCGAGGTAGAGCATTACTGTCACGAAGAAGGATGTCTATCTGCCGGACTGCTGCTCTTCTGCTGCCTAAACATCCACGGATTTATACTTGAGACGACACTCGTACGCATGAAAAATGACAGGGGCGTTGTCGTAGAACCAGCGTGCAAGGTCCTCCTTTGTGCTCGCTCTGCTCGTCAAATGTGGTCTACTGTGATTGAATGCATTGGCTAACCGTGCGTGTATGTTTCAGCTCGAGCAGACGGCCCGACAAACAATCGTCCTTGCTGTTTTTATACCAATTCTATCTGTGCTGTTCTTGGACAGACATGCACGTAAACGATTTTAGCACCGACTGTTGTTTATGTGTCGCACTTGGAGTCTTTGTCCATGCGATCAAAGATTGGTGTGTATTGTCTGGAAGCATTAAGCCGCTGGGCCGCTCGCGTCTGCTTAGAATCGTGATTGCAATTAACTGCATGTCGACGGTTCATCATCCGACCCACCCGTTTAGAATACAAATTACAGCGATTGTAAATTACAAAAGATCAAACATTATCTCTGGTGTAAACGACGGGTTGCTTTGGCTCCAGCATTTTTACTCTTTTTCGGAATGGGGTACACTCGGGTTACACAGCATAAAAACGATGAAGTGAGACAAATGTAATTAAATACATCGGATGGCCCTCGTCTTCTGTTTGTATTGATATACCAATTCTAGCACCTGCACATCAGCGCTCGAGCACAAGTCAGCAGACCAGTTGTCCATTCCTTCTACCATGAGCAAGAGCAAGCAGCAAGAAGCAGAAGACGCCGTGCACACCCGACCGAAGGTGGATGTCTCGGCCGTGGAAATATCGCCAAACCCAGCAGCTCTTACGGACAGCCTGAGGCTGAAGGTGGACTTCCACTTGGAAGCACCCGTCGCCAATGGTGTCTGGCATATCGAGGTGAGTGCGAACGAAAGATACCACCAAGTTGACTGCATTGACTTATTTCTTTGCGTCGTTTCGAAAGTATCTGGCAGACTGCGTGACGAAACACCCCACAATCGATATCCTTTCCAACATGCAACTGCGTCCTTATTGCATCAAAGCTTCCGGCTTAGGTCTCCTTAACCCTCAACTGATGCTGATTTCATATGTGTGCACAACTGGGCCAAGTGGAAGCAACGGACTACGCAAGAGGCCCCAACGAGTTCCAGTTTTCGGTTTGTTAAGCAGCGAAATGTTGGTGATATTTGCTACACTAATACTCTCGTTGCAGATCCCGCAGATCGACGTATCTGGGATTCAGTCGAGTCGGTTAACCAATTGTGGTCTGCTGATAGCGTCGTTGAAAGACGACAACGAAGACATTATGGATCTCAGGATGGTCATTCAAGTATCGGAGCAACGTGGAGTACTTCAACGCATCATCTACAGCCCCCTGGAATAGACAACTTGTTGCCAACTCGATGTTGTCAAACCTGCCGAAACGTTGACAGCATGTTGAATGCACAATGCTTTCGAATGTTTCACCTGAGCTGTTTGCCATCTAATGCGCCAACACGCTCAACTTGCAGATACGACACGACTCGCAATTTAAGTGCTGGTTGTCTAGCCTGGAGATCGCAGATGAAGAGCATGTGTCGCAACGCGCGCCCACTATTAATTTGGCTACCTGGTTGTGCACGAAGCAAACTGTAGTTTGTCAAGTGTAGACGCGTTCCCAATCCTTCTTTAACGCTCTTCGCTCTTCTTGTTTGCTGAAGACGAGCCATGCTTTCTTCAGCTAACTCAATGCTCACCTAAAACAAGAGACGCTCCGTATTCCGAATCGAGACTCAATCAGACTACGAAGCAAAATCTTAATAGGGTACAATTGATGTAGGAAGAATGATCTGGGTCGAAACGACCGACAGTCGTCTGGAATACGTCGCTCAAGTATCCTTATTGTATGAAAGAAGATACGACGGCCTTCATAGCACATGCCACTCTCGCGGCCTCAGCCTTCACTGTAGCCATAAAGACTTGACACTCATTGGCAAAACATCACCTTGTTGTGCCTCGACAACTTCAATCGCTCGCACTTAGTAAACAACAGTCGCACACATGCTTTGAACTCGGCATCTAATTACTAATTGCAAGAACATTGTTTCCAATGACGCATTTTTGCGTTTTATACAGCAGTCCATGAATTCTCCATTAAGTTGCGTCAGAGGACGGAGTCTTCCATAAGCTAGCGGTGTTACAAGTCTATATGTTCGTTGCGCATATTTCGCATTGGGCGATCCCAATAGCAACAGTAATGGCGAGCTGTTCACATGACATTGATCTCGTGGCAGTTTAAATCTAAATATGAAGGATAGTGTTTAATTCCATGATTTGAAGATGAACGCTGTGAATGATACGTTGTGAGGCATCACATTGTACGCAGATCGATCGTGAAAAATGTTCGTGGTTTGCACAGGCACATGAGGTTGGCCTACCATCCGAAAGAGAAGACTGCAGTGAACCGTAAGCATGTTATAGAGATTGTAATTAGTTGACCCAGGCTCACATGGGACCATTGCCTTAGATTATTTGTGGTAATTCAGCTTTGCATTTGATTCAGCATTAGGACACAAGAATAATATCGATGGCTACATGACGATTCGTTTGTCAAAAACGCTAAATCTGTGAGTCAGGTAGTCTGCAAGCTGACCATATTATACGCTAGTTGAATTTGTCTGACGAGAAATGGATCTCAACAAGATCGAAAGCTGCAGTCTTAATTCTTCAGCTGCAGTTCTAATCGTTCCGCTCCACCACGTTACCTGCGTAGTGCCTTGTTCGTGCAAGTTTCAAACTTGTGGACATACTGCCGCTGATACCAAAACACCGGCCGCTCCAATTCAATCTCATCCAAAAGAAAATGAGCAAGCGCTTGCATGTACATGCACTGACAAAGCCGTCGGATACTTCTAATGAGAGCGTAATACATACAAAACGTATTACGCGAGCTCACTTTTTTCCATAACTTATCATTTTACCTATACCTCTTGCTGCAAAGCGGGCGCTTATCTCATTATCGAGATATATGCCTAGTACAGGATCAAATATGATATAGTACACCCTTGCAGCCTATATGTTTTTTAGCTTAAGTTCAATTTTTGTTGTGATTTTGCAACAAAATCTATATTTCGGTCAAATGCGTGGTTGAACTCGTGATCAATTTATCAGGATCTAATCACGACATTAAGTTACATAAGTAGGGTATCTGCAAACCTCCTTAAAAAATATGCAAGGGTCATTAATGTTTAATGCTTGATTTGCGAGTGTAACGATACACCGAAGAATATATGGTTCAGTCTTTGCAATCCCTGCTCTGACTGTTGCCTTATACTTCGACCAATCAGCATCGACTTGTCCTCTTTCTGGCCCCCAGTTTAATCCAATGATAATATGTATAATGCATTATGCATTGTATAAGATTCTAAAATGACGTAAGAAGTGACTTGCCAAATGACGAATACAGCGTGCAAAAAGAATCAATTACGACGCCATATATTGAACGGGACTTGATTCAGCATGTAGCACAAGCAATACGTAACTAGCAGGCTTTGTAATGATATGTGTATGGCTAGTGTTGAGTGGATTGCTCGCGGCATGTTCAAATTTGCCGGTTAAGGGGAAGGTTGACAATCAGATTATATACGAAAGATTAAAACGCCTTTATCCCAGACAAAGCTGGTGACCTATCCGACGTTTATGCGAAGAGTACGCAAGGAAGCTTGGCTACACCTCCACTCAAATCGTGCAATAGTCTCTTTGATTGTAGGTTGCGTGGTTTGGTGTCCGACTTCGACTTTGTTTCAGATCTTTAGCCGCGCCGGACTTTTTGTTGCTCCAGATATACAGCCCAATTGTGGCAACTATAAGAAATGGACAGATCATATTGGAAAATGTTCAAGGTGGCAGTTATTTCAACCAAAATTATCGGTGGTTGCAGAGCAGGTTCCTATTAATTTAGCTTTTGCCAGAAATTCACTCATTTCAAAAGGTTCATAAGGTTCATCACGCCAACTATAACCATACGCACGGTGCCAATAGAATATAGCAAAATTGGACGCGTGACTCGTGACTTGTCGTAATTCGAATTTGTGGAGTCAAAATTATATTTTTATTGTGACGTAGATCAGAATGTGATGTATTTACTTACGATGCTGCTGATGCTCCATTTCTCGAGTGTAAGTGAATTTGAATGATATCGGCTATGTTTGGCTCTACTGGAATATGTCATTGTAGCTCGATGTGATATGACTCATTTGATACGTCATACTGATTGACAATTATATTTGGGGCTATTTTAGATGGACCTCCTCATACTGGATCATCATCGGTGGGTAATTGATGTATGGTTTTCATGTTGCCAAGCACAAAGCGGGAGCTATAGTTCACAAATTACAGCTCGATCCAATCTGAGGATCCCGTTTATATCAATCTTACTTTATTGATTAAAATATAAGACCCTTGCCTGGATGTGACAAGCAGTCGGATTTTTTCACATAAAATTTTTCTTGGTCGTAAATTAATGCTACGGGTGTAATATTCAATTAGCTACATAAAGTCGCTCCGATCGCATTTCTCCAGATCACACAAAACTATAAATGAACTTCAAATATTCAGTGTTGAGTCAACGAGCTGTGGAATCAAGATTGGTGTGTAGTACTATTTACAATAATTGGAGTAGAAGGAGCGTTTTATATATTTCACAAAAATTTAAGCTAAACATTTGTCAAGGCGTAATGCGATCATTTGGATCGTACGTCATCAGACCATTCATTGAAAGCCCTTCTACTCGACTTATTATTCGATTATATTATTTACTTTAGGTCACGACTAGGAGCACACCCGTTTTTTTGCTACGGGCACATCCGCCTGCCAAAAATGATTAAAAAAGGACCTCACAGTTTACAGTGCAGAATAATTTGTAAAACACGTAGTCACTAACCACTGCTTTCTATCTCCAAACCCTATACGGCAGATCCACTCTTGCGTAAGATTCCATCAACCCATCGTGTCCAGGGTGGTATCCAAACAAGCAATAGCTGCTGATATCGCTACTGTCTCGAACACGGTAATCAATCCGATTGCACAATGTCGAGTGACCTGACCATCAGCAGTGGCAACGACTCGTTTTTTTCGACTTTTTTTAGCGATACATGCACGGGCAAACACATATGGCTTGCAGTATGTGTAGACTTTGAGGCTACGGTCTGTGACGAGGTACGTATTGGTATATACCGTTAAACGTCTCACTTCAAGTCGATCATTTTGGGTAAGAAGATGCAAAAAAAACAATTACGCACGAAGTATTTCGTCACAATGATGGTATTTTGTCGCTATTTATAACGTTACTGAGGTTATGACTGTTTTTTAGCTCCCGCCACGATCACACTTGTAGTAGACCACCTGCAGACCCCACTTCATTCTCTTTGATCTGGCGACGACGATGGCATATCTTTCGGTAGCCGCAACACCTTTAAGGTTGTTTCCATTTCGTTTCTGAAAAGAAAGCTGGTACCATTGAGAGCGGCAGGTGGGGTTGAAGCTATTCCAGCGGTAATTTTCCCTCTCTCGGGCTTCCGTACGCCATTTCGTGAGTTTAGCTGGTGTGTGTGTTATTATCCGGTGTTTTAGTCGTATTGTATAAGTATAAGAATGAGGGACATAGACGCAATTGCGCGGCTAGAAAAGGTATGAAAGACATGATCTTTTTTCTTTTTCAGTAGATAAATTTCACGTCCTCAACCGCCAGATCCCTAGTCCAAACACTTTCAGCAATACAATTGGGTTCTTCTACATCCAATTGTACTGTACCGTACACGCATTTTATCCTGCAATATTAAATTTAAAATCATTTTTTATCATTTTAGGCGGGCGGGGGTACCCGTAGCAAAAATGGTCTGTTCCCCTAGCAAAAGTGGGGTGTGCCATTAGTCGTCGCCTTTACATTATTACTTAATTCCTATGTTTGAGCTACGTAATATCACTTATTTTTTATTTACATAAAAAACTAGACTCAGGTCTGATGATGTATAAATTTCATCATTTTGACAGATACAAACTTGATTATTTGCGTAATTTATATGTAGGAAAGCTACGAATTTACTTTCAATCAACATTAGGCGTCCTTGTAGCTTTGTTGAATCAGGCTATCGGTATACATAGAAGACTTTAACTGACACGCGAAGTGCAAAAATGGCACAATTACATGAATTTTGATGTCGATTTGTACAATTAATACATAATAATCTTATCACGATATGTGGCACGACAATGTATGTGGTGTAACTAAGCGATGTTTAGGCCAAATCATCTTTACTGTGTGGATGTATACTACGTCAAATCTTTTTGGTCTTTTATTAACATGATGACGGTAGCAAAAGTATGGTGCAAAAAATAATTGTGCAT